CTTTATCGGTTCTTGTCATGTTGGTGTTTTGAAACGTTTTTCACGTAGTATCAGCCTTGCCGTCCGTCTGTCTTTAGAAAAAAAGCAATTTCAAAGGACGTCTGGGATCAATAGTAGCGTAAACCTCGGACTGTGTGACTCGCGCGACTACTTTGTTTGTTCTTTACTCATAGCACAAACAAATTAAATTTTGATTTTTAAGGAAGAAAGCTGTTTATTTATAGCGCTATTAGTAGCGTGATACTCGTTTCCTATTCGTATCATTCATGGGCATGTCTCGAGCGAACTTCCAGACTAAAGCCATTACTTCATTATAGATTTCACAAAGGCTTAGAGCGATGGTGCAATAGTTCAGGTTGTGTTGATCCTACAGTAATCAATGAATCATCAAGAACTGCTTTGGAATGTGCACTGCGTCGCGACTGTAGTGCTAAGAAAACAGTTAAATTTTAAAAGCGCGGTTATAAGATCTAAAAGATCCTCTTATCTCTAAAGCTTTGGAGAGAGGAAGCATTTTTACAAGTACAGGTATTATATTCCAATTATCGGCTGCGGCAAATCTAACACTGAATTTGCCATAATTAGTTTTTGACCGAGCTATAATCAAATTTTGTTTTGATCTTGTACGTGTGCAATATCGGCGGACCTTTCTGATGTTCGTGAAACAGGAGTCATAAATAGCAGGAAGCGGGCTATTTTGATGTTTGTATACCAGCTCACCCACTTGTAATCTAGTAATTTGAATTATATTCAGTATACCCAATTAGTAAACAGGGGTCTACTATGATCTCTCCAATCTGATTGTGTTATAATCCTTAGTACTCTTTTCTGTAGCAGTAGTAAACAATTTAGTTTAGTCGGGTAGTTACTTCCCCGTAACACAGTGCAATACCGCAGATGTGAATAAACTAAACTATAATATAAACATTTTAAAATATCCAAACTCACCTTTTTGCTCGGTAGATTGTGATGCGTAGTTTCCAGAGAGGCAACACGCAGTGAGAATAAAGATGATAAGTACGGCCAAATGAAGAAAGCGTTTTCTTGCCATCTTCGTCAGATGAGAAGAGGACTACCGTTCCGATACGAAATCACACGATTTAAGACCTGAAATGACCTCAACGAGATCATTTGACACTTTTTATCTACTTGCGCCCCGAAACACATTATGTGGACACACATTATGTGGAAACACGTTATGTGGAAACACGTGATGTGGAAACGCTTGTTTCGGGGTGCAAGTGAGTTCAAAGTACGGAACTTGATAAGGTGAACGTATCATTTTGCAATAAACGAGTTAGAATATTTCACACATAATGAGCAATAATTTTTAAATATTCCAACAACTGAGTCGCAAAATAAAACTAAAAACTAAAAAATGAAAACAACTGGGTGCAGTGCCTCCTTTTTCTTGCAGCCATTTTTAAGCTCTAACTTGTGCTTTCGTACATGATGTACAGCATTAGGATGCCTTGTATTGAACAGTTCAATATCATATTATCCAATTTATACTGCAGGAAAAGACCTAATTGACAGATCAACAGCCAGGATTTTATAATTTCTTTTGTTGTGGGAGGGGTGGGGGAGTGAGTGGCATTTAAAGATAGATTAAATTAATTATTTAGATGATGTTTATTTGAGAGACTGGTTCATTTATCATGTCCATTTATCATATTGAGGTAACAAATTGCAACAGCGGTTATTTCATATCAATGACATTCATGTATGAAAAATCAAATGACGAAAAACAGGAGATACTCCATATTAGTTCTCATGTCAATGTTTAAATAGGTGTCAATCAGAGGTACAACTGGCCTTCATTTGCTTCATCAATGTCTGTACCAGTGATATTCAAAAGTGAGACTAGACTGACTGGTTCACTTGTAATTGTGCAGTCGTTTATGCCTTTCCGGGAACACATTTCCGGGGGCTGGAGGGATGAGGCATTAGAGGAAAGGATGGGATAGTAGAGAGAGGGAATTAATGAAAAGAAAGAAAAATTCAACAGACACCTTAATTACTGATAGTAATATTTTTTGGAACTTTCAGTACTCTAAGTTTTTCTTTGTTCTTTTAAACTTACAGCGGGAGCAAGGCATCCTAGATCAAACAACTGGTCATTTATTCCACGGCACCTTTAGATGATATAATGAATAAAAAATATCAATTGCATAGATAGAAAATTAAAATAATATCAATTTAATTATTGACTCATTCCAAAACAAAGGAGAAGACAAAAACGTTTGTCACACTGGAGGCTAAAAAAAAGGAAAGAAAAAAAAATATTATTAACCATGAGCAGTTAAGATGAATCAAATACTACACTGTGATTGGCTACCCAAGCAGGCAAGATGGTGCTATCTTGTCGGCTAGGGATTGCGCTATGTGTCCCACAAGGAAAATTTTCGTGAAGCTAGTTCAAGCAGGTTCACTAAAGTTTTCTCTCATAATTTTAATACATTGCAAAAATATTTTTGTGACAGCTTAAAGATTCCCTATCGTCTTTGTATATTAAATGATTGAGTTGGAAAATGAGAAAAGTGGAAGTGTTAACAAAATTAAACAAAGAAAACAAAATGTTGACGAGTTTCATGAATTTATTTTGCAACCGAAACCACAAAATAAATCCTTTATTGACCTGCAAGCTTGTTCCATCATGATCACTAGATATATGGCTTTGTTATTTTTTATTATTATTTACTCATTTATTTATTTTTGCTTGTTTATGGTCCTTGACTATCTTGGTCCTTAAACAGGCAAAAAAAAATTAGAACTTGTCCAATATCGAACCATACTGACCTCATGCTTGGTCAATAACCCATATATACTAACTCTCAGACTGGTCACGCACATTTCGCGTGAATAATCACATTACATTACACCAACAGGTCTACATTGTACATCCTTACGTCGCAGACAAAGAAGCCAAATTCGAATCTGTTATGCACCAAATACAAGTATTCAGAACGGCTAGTCAGGCATATGGAAAGGTGATATTTCCCCCCCGACAACATGAAATTTTGAAATTAACAACCACAATATTTTGACCCAACAAATAGTCAGCTAAATTAAATATTCAAGACAATTATACATGTATTTCTTCGCGCTTCGCGATGTGCTCACAATTTTCAGCTCTACAAATTGCACAGATGGTCGATAGTTTTGCGCCAAAGCGTTCCTCGATCAAGGTTTAAGCTTGTTTGGTAGTTTTAAGGATGGAATCAATTGACTAGAGATGACAGGAAATTTGATTTTACAAACGAAAGGCAATATAATGGATGACTTATTTTCTATTATTCACTCGCAGCGGGACCCGTTTCTCGAAGGTCCCGAAAAGGTTTCGCACCCGGAGAGCCGGAGCAAAATCTCAAACCTTAACTTATGATTACAGAGCTGTTCTTTTCACACATTTTGAGTATAAACAGAGGTTCCATTCCGTACAAGAACTCTCTTTAAATACCGTACCGATCAACTAAAAATGGCTTTTCGGAGCCGAAAACTTTCCGGGGCTTTCGAGAAACAGGCCCCTGAATTCAACAACACAAACTACATTGAGACAAAAATTAAACCTACTTACTGGGTTGCAGTGTTCGCTGAATTGTCAGCCATTTCAAAATTTACTGCGCTGTCGAGAGCTGTCTTTTCTTCAGTTCCTCGTTCGCATAGTTTCTTGGAAATTTAGGCCCGAGCGCAGTGGCTTAATTTCTCGGAAACCGGAAGTTGAATGAAAGACGATTGCTGGTGTGATGAAATATCTCGCGTGGCCGCGGGCGACTTGGACCGTCTGAGGCACGAAATGAGAAACTGCATTAAGGCTTCATGGGAAAGGCAATCAGTTCAATATTTTAGGAGTTTTGGGATATCGAAACGATATCCAAAAGTACACACGTCACATATTGAAGAGAGAAGTAATAACACACCAGACATACACCACAAAGAACAGAGAGACGAAAACCAAACGAAAAAAGAGAGGCAAAAATGAAAAATGAAATGACAAAATTAGCAAAGACAGGAAAAAAAAAAAAAAAAAAAA